TGGATTAATTAGTAAGACTGGTATTACTAAACCATTATTATGTCAAAAACATTTTTTGCGTGTAAAACTGTACTTATACTGTATAAAATGTCATTTCTTTAAATATTTTCAGGTGTGTAGTAAGGATTAATTGAATTTACATTATTTACATTATTATAATATTATTATAATTGGTTACATTATTATTATTATTATAATCCTTGTATTTTGACAGCTTTTTGAAGATCTTCAAAGATACATTAAAGTCTGTAGGGACAGCCATATCACTCAGGAGGTACATTTTGTCTTTGCAGTTTCTAATCACAAGTCCTCTCTCTATAATCGGGTCTGAGTGGTGTTCATACACATTTCTTGCAGTTTCCTTTCCGTAAGTGCAGATATTAGACCACTCTGTCGTGCCGGGTTTTATATTAAGTCGGTGTCAATAATGCGCAAACTAATACAAGTTGTTCAATTGTTTCTGGATATTTATCACAGAATCTGCAATTTGAAATAAAACAATTTTTCAGTATGAGTGTTCTGCAATCTCTAGTTATTATTATTATTATTATTTACATTATTATAATATAACCTAGATAACCTCGGTTCCACTGTATTCGTAACGTTCTTCTGTACACACACACACACACACATACACACGTAGATATTTTAAGACATTTTTATGTCTATAGATTCTTTTTTACAAAAAGTTTTATAACAATGTCTTAAAATAATTGTCGGGCTTTGCCCATTTAATAATGTGTGAAATATATTTCATAATATATATATATATATATATATATATATATAATAATAATAATAATAATAATAATAATAATAATAATAAAGGCTTAAACACTAATATTCCATGGTCATAATTTATCCCAATGGAATCGTAAATACGATTATATTGGATCGTATTTACGATTCCAATGGAATAAATTATGACCATGGAATATTAGTGTTTAAGCCTTTTTATTATATCCTTACTCTGTCCTGGACATTGAGTTCTACCTGGATTCTATCCTCTTGGAATTTTTTATACAAAATATATATGTATGTGTATTCATGTATGTATATATATTTATATATTTTGCATATGTATGTGTATATTTACCACTAATATTATTACTATATATATATATATATATATATATATATATATATTATAAAATGGACAAAGTCCGACAATTATTTTAAGACATCTGTGGCAAAATCGGTTAAAAGCACGTCAATCTAAATGACGGTTCTGTATAGGATACAGGTTTGAATCCTGTCGGAGGACGAATATTTTCTGTGAAATTTTCTCGCAAAATCAGGTTGGTAAATGTTGTTTAATACTGTTTATTATAAACAGAGCATTTACTTAAATATTTGTGTCTATAAAAAGAATGTATAAACGTAAAAAAATGTCTTCATATATACATATATATATATATATATATTGGGCACCTCGAGGTGGTGTAATGGTTAGCAAGCTTGTCTCGCTAGAACAATGATGAATGAGGAGTGAATCGATTCTCACTAGGTGCCTCTTACATTCGGCCTTGTGCCACAGCTAAGCTTGGAAAATCACTATATATGTATATGAGGCACATCCTCATTCCCCTCTCCATCTTCAATGTCCTCCTCATCAACAGTGCAGTTTAGCAAATCATCGTCATCTGCAGCAGCAGCAGAATTTTTGTCCTCCTCATCAAATCTGTCAGTGCCTTAATCCATCTGCTGATTCTCCTCTCGATTTTTTTTTAACATGGAGACAGCTTTCTCTGTAACAGTCCCGTCCTCATCTGCACACATACTAAGAAGAAGTTGATCGGTGTGGGTGAAGTATGCATTTCTCAGGACAGTCTTCATCACTATTGTCTTCTCCTTAATAATCAGCTTTTTCATATATAACAGGGATTGCAATACGTTCTTTTAGCCGTGTGTTACATATTGAAGCACTTAACTTTCTAACGATTCATTTCAACTTGTGGCTATGTCTTGATGTTTCTACATTGTTGTAGCATACCTATGGACAATAATGGGTATGTCCCCATTCGCATAAATACAGTAATACTGTATGTTAGTCTGCAGTTGGAGATTCATTGTAGAATTCCCTTGACTCACTTCTAACAGTTGACTACTTATTCTACGCTCTGCTGGCGAATCTTATATGTGTTGTTCTTGTCCTAATATTATCGTTCATTACCAACCTTCGTCTGATTATTCTATTCAGTAACCTTCCCTAGGTTACAAAATACATACAGCCTGAGGATTCTACTCCATATAGTATTCCACCTTGACACGAAAGGAGGACCTGGTTCAATAGCAGTTATCACCAATAACACCTGTAATAACTCCTTTACAAATCCTGTATTGGTATTTCTGATCCTAGGAGAGATCTGTCTATACTTTTCACTTCAGGACAGGAGAATCAGTGAAACTGACTGGCTGGAAGGAAACAACTGGCAAATCAGACAAAGGCTCCTTGATTTGCTTTCCAATAGAACCGCGTCAATGCTCAAAACCAGCGTAGGGATAGAAAACTGTGGAAAGATAGCATATTTCCATGAAGCTGACAGTTGAAATAATGGGGTGTCCAAGTAACATTTCAAGATGGTGAATGGCTCCATTTTGTGATCTTATATTTACATTGCTTCCATCACTATCAACACATACAATGGGCTGGTAAGTGATAGTTTTCTCCACCAGAAACTTGTGAATAATTTTGTTAATCTGGACTCCGTGTCCAGACTTGGGAGTCGATGTGAGATATTCATTGCCAGACTCAACCATGATAACATAAACATCTTGCTCCATCATCCTCAAACTCTATTTATTGGCTTTACATTCTTTATCATCACAAGAGAGGCAGATTTCTTACCATCAAAATAAGTCATATTTACAAGATTAGCCATCCCAGTTTCTTGTCTCATCAGTCAGTATTTTTATGTCGCATCTCGTAGCTTGTGTGGTCCAATAGCTTGACTCTTGTCATCCTTTGTAATAGTGTCATAGCCTGTTACGGCAACACTAGCAATGACAGCTCCAGCATAATCAATAATCTGAATCGGTCACAAGCGGCATCCAGTCTCGGTGTCTTCTGTTCTGTGGACAGTTGTCTGTCAGAAATTTTGAAGCGGGGACAAAATCAGCATCAGTATTGCCAGGAGGTATATCCTTTGGATCATCGAAATTATCCTCAATATAAGGGATATTTCCAGCTACCAGATCTTTATGTCTTTGATTATGCTGGTTCTGTGTGCATCATGCATCTCTCTTAGCGTCACTTTATCCCACATCATCGTCACTTTCATGTCAATCCTTGCAATTTTACTTCCTATCTATTATCAAGATCAAGAAAGAACTGCACCTCACGTTTGGGAACTTATATATCACAATTACAGGTAAGTTGATGTCCATCACACTTCTTAAATTTGCTTTTCACATCCTGACAGAAGATAGGTCGACAGTAACAACTGCAGATATTTAAAAAAAAACTCCATTTCTTCCTTAAATGCAGCATTTTTGCCCATATTCTTGTTCTTATTAACAATTCCTCTACTGTACAGTTTTTTTTTCAGTCTTTCCTCAGTTTTCTGGTTAAGAAGAGGAACAGTCCGTCTATCTCCAATTGACTTTTTCTATATTTCTGAACAATGCTGGGGGCCATCTTGATAAACATTGAGACATCTGCAAACATTCCTTCATCACATTTCTATCGCCAGCATTCCGTTAACATATCGCCTTTCGAGGGAAGTTTGTCCACTAGAAGAACATTTGCAGAGCCAAACAATGCATGATCTGTGGCTGCTCGCGTTAACACAGTCGCCATCTCAATAGACAATTGATCAGTTAACCTGATAAGAAAAGAGAAAGAATTAGTGAATGGACAAAACTGAATATACGCATTAGACATTAGTGCAATGTACATTACACTGCACCAACACAACGTAAGTAAATTTTTACATTTTAGTTGTAACTGCTGAAGACTAAACCTCGAGCAATAAGCTGGAATAATAATATGTAGCAACACGTTGATTTTCTCTTTTCCCTTAATAATCATACCAAAAAGCTTGTCCCTGAATATGAAAGGATCCAATTGAAAATAATTAGACGGACCTTGTTTAAATTATTCAATGAAACATATTTCAATATATATATATATATATATATATATATATATATATATATAGATGTGTGTGTGTGTGTAAGTGTGTGTGTATTATGAAATGGACGAAGTCCCACAATTATTTTAAGACATTTTTATGTTTATACGTCCTTTTTTATAGATACAAATATTTAATTAAATGCTCTGTTTTATAATCAACAGTATTAACAACATTTACCGGCGAGAAATTTTCATAAAAAATATGCGTACTCCGACAGGAATCGAACCTGTATTCTATACGGAATTGTCATATAGCCTGATGTGCTTTTAAACGATTTCGCCACAGAGGAGCGTTTCGGTTAGCAAGGTCGATTTTATTGTCCATGGAAAATTGTAGTTTAAAAGCAGTAAATTTTAAGTATGAGTGTGTGTGAAAGATCATACATACGGTGCATACACATTGTGTACATGTGAAATTACCTATGAAATATATATATATATATATATATATATATATATATATATATATATATATATATATATATATATATATATATATATATTTAGAAAAATACAGCTTTAAGGTGTGCTATATTTATGGGATAAAGTGCTCAATATTAGAGATAGAGCGTTTGTAAATATATATATATATATATATATATATATATATATATATATATATATATAAATAAAGTGCATATTCTCTTTTACTTCAAGTAGTCACTTGTTGGTAGCATTGTTGCTTTGCTTAGGGCGAGTTGATTAAAAACAAATAAATTAATAAAAAATAAAAATAAAATAAAAAATGAATAAAAATAACAAATAAAAAAGAAAGTAAAAAATAAAAATAAAAATACTAAAATAAAAATGAAAAATAAAATAGAAATAAATATAAAAAATAAATTAAAATAAAAAATAAATAAAAAATGAAATAAAAACACTCACCGCAATAATAACGACTAGAATCCGACAGTTAGTATTCTATTATATTCTTTGCAAATCTCTCTCTTCGTTAGTTTGCACGCGCATCAAGCTCTGACAATACCTTATTAATAATAGACTATTCCATTTTGATAGCGTGAAAAGAGGGGAAAAGATACCCCTTCCTTTCAGTGAAAAAACTTAGAACAAAGCAAAGAAGGAGGAAATATAGCAGTGTGGAAATAGACCTATGTACTGAAATAGACTTTCGAATTTCCAAAGATACTGTGGATTCAGAAATGTAATCTCCCACAGAAATGTAATCTCTCTTAAAAGACTGCGAATTCTTCAAGTCTAAAAATTGAGAATTGAGCAGCTTCTATCCAGTTATGGCAACAATACACCATCTTTGGTTAACTTTGTATCTCTCCGCTTGACAAAAAAAAATAAAAGAAAGTAATATTGAAACGCCATAAAAGTTGGGCGAGGAAAACCTCCTGTGGCCTTAACTGCAATTTTCGGGCAAGAAAAGCAACATAACAAGGCTTGCTGAGAGATAATATTTTAAGCAAATTCAAGTTTTATTTAAAATAAAATAAACAGAAGCAGTAAAACCAGCGTTGAAGAGAAGAGAAGAAGAGAGTAAAACGCGATCGTCACAAGAAACATGATTCTACTTTTGAAATTTGCACCTGCGATTGAAATGGCAACTCATTTCTATTTGTTTTTTTTTCTTTTATTCTTCTCTTCATTACTCTGCATTCTTACAATTGTTTTATTTTTCGTTCTCCGGCGTTATTCATGTTTATAATTTAAACATTTAAATCTGTCTTCACAATATTCAACGAACATTGTACTTTCTCTCGTTCGTCTTCATTTTAAAATATCTGTTTTTTCTTTCGCCTATTTCTCCCCTTTCTCCTATTTTTCTATTCTTTTGTCTCTCATACTTCTCTACTTATTTACGTGCATCCCCTCTTCTTCCTCCTACTCTTCTTCTGCTGCTGTTTCTTTACTTCCTTTCTTTATATGAATTCGTTCTCTTAACTTTTCTTTCTTTATTCCCAAAGATTTTATTTCTTCTCAACTTTCTTTCTTTCGTCGTCTCCTTCAAGTTTTCCTCATATTAATAATTTTATTCCCTTGTTCTACCATCTCTGCTTTTATCGCTCGCTTTGTTCTTCATCCTTTCGAATGAACTATTTCCATGTTCATATTTCTTTTTTTTCTTCTTAAAAAAGCAAAACTTTATACTTTCTTCTGTGATAAACCTTTTTAAAAACATTTTTAAACAATTTTTACAGTTTCATTTTTCAGCGAATATAACCTTTGTTCTGTTTTTTTTTTTTTTTTTTTTGTTGAATACATTCTGCTTCTTTCTCTTCATTTCTTTCTTTCTTCCTTGCTGCCTTACTTCCTTCGCCTGAACTTTTTTCTCTTAATCATATATGTTTCTTTCTTTCTTTTTTTTCTTTCTTTCCGAGCAAACATTTTTCTTTCGTGTCAGTGATAAACGTCCTTTATTACCGTTTCCTTCAACACTAAAGATAGTTTTCTTCATATCTTCTCTTTCTTTTTTCTCGCTTTATTTCTTTTCTCTTTCCTTCTGTCTTTCATTTTTCTTTCTTTCTTTTCTTCTTTCCATCGTTAAATATATCGTTCTATTTTTCATCTTCATAATAAACATTTAATTTCTGTTCGTGTATAATCTATTACTTCTTTCTTTATTATTTAACCCGTCTCTTCTATTCCTCCCCCTAATCTTCCTTCTCTTTTACAACTACTTTCCTCCTTAATCTACTTCTACTTCTTCTTCTTCTACTACTACTTCTTTTTCTACTACTACTTCTACTACTTCTACTTCTTCTACTTCTAGTATTACTTCTACTTCTTTTTCGACTTCTACTACTACTTCTTTTTCTACTTCTTCTACTTCTAGTATTACTACTACTTCTTCTACTACTTCTTTTTCTACAACTTCTTCTACTTCTACTACTACTTCTTTTTCTACTTCTAGTATTACTTCTACTTCTTTTTCTACTTCTTCTTCTACTACTTCTAGTATTTGTTCTACTTCTACTACTACTTTTTTCTTCTTCTACTTCTTCTACTTCTAGTATTTCTTCTGCTACTTCTTTTTCTACTACTACTTCTGCTTCTTCTACTTCTCATACTATTTCTTTTTCCTCTACTTCTACTATTTTTGCTTCTTGTCATTATAAACTACTTTCTTATATTTACTACCCACTCCAATTTATTTCTTTTTCATTCCAATGATTTGCTTCTGTTTCAACAAGGCATTTATCTGCGATTAATCTTCAGCGCTTTCCTGTCTGTGTTGTCGCCACTGCGCAGTAACAGTTTCTTCGTTGCTACCACACGTGTTCTCTAAACAGTGTTCTCATACCACCAAAAAAATGATCAACGCCTCAAGATGGTGTCGAAGAGTTGAACACTACAGGATGCCAGTACATGGTACTTCCTGCTGATGATATATTATACAT